AACAGTTGGGTTTAGTTAAGGAGAAGGAGAACTACACAAGAGATTTCACTGGTGTCTCTTTCCTGGTCTATGCAGAAACAGTGCTTGCCTTGACCTTGCAACCACCACGACTTTCTAGAACTGAGCCTGGCACATAATATGTGCTTGGTAAATATTTGCTAAATGAATGATTAGCGAGAACAAAAGAATATGAAAATGAAATGTTTGTAGATGGTTCTAGACAGTTTGGAAAGTAAAGGTAAGACTTTGATTCAGAAGGCAATCATAAAGAAATCAAAAGAGGGAAGCACGGCTACAGCACCAAGAGTCAGAGTCACAACAGAACAAGAGCTTGATCTGAAAGATCCCTACGTGAGAAGTGAGAGAGAACATGAATAATCAAAGCAATTGCAGTAATTGGAGATTAATTCCTATAAAAGTTTTTGAGCAGAGAGCAAGGTGCTCAGGTTTTTTCACTATGATGTTTTATCAATACATTGTTATTGAAAAAAGAATACTAACATATGAAGACTGTAGATCATGCAGACAATAGTGACAAAGCAGCAGCAGACACCAGCTCTTCTCCTGCACCGGGCACTGGGGAAAACGCATGTGTGGAAAGTACACCAATGAAGCCCAAGTGCTCAGACCGAGCCCCACTCGTTTTCCAAACAACCTCGGTCAAGTCATTCAATCTCTCTGTGTCTTGGTGTCTGGTGTCTTATGATCTGTGAGATACAATAGCATTTACTCTCTAAGCATGAAGTTGCAAAGATTAAATGAGAGCCTGTGAGGGGAAAGACAAGGGAATAAAGGAAAGAAAAGAAAAAGAAAACTCAAGGGTTCCAATTTCACATAAAGATAAGCTCAATCACTACAGCCTGCTGGGGGTGACAAGGCATTCCTAAAACAGCAAAACAGAACTAGCCCATCCTACCATCAGGCTGAACTGTCTCTGTGACACACCTATATTTTCCACTTACATTTCCCCCCTAATTTCATTACTTTCAAAAACTGCATTGATTTCCTATGTTTCTTTTCATGAAGGTCTCCACCACTTAATCATAGGTTCTTGAAGACAGGGTCTGTGTCTTAGTGTTTTTTTCTCTCAGCCCCTAGGATCATGCTATACACACAATTAATTAAGATAGAATAATTGAGTGAACAGTAGAGAAACATCACACGAGAAGGCATTGATGTGAATGAGAATTATAAGAATTTTTAAGTGGAAGATACGGAAATACTTTGGTAAAACAGAAAACTGATAAAAGCAAAGAATTACCTATCTATATATGTTACACACATTTAACACACATGTAATACACACAAAAACATGTGTGTGTGCAAACATGTAGCTTAATATTAAGATCCTCCAAAAGTGACTCTCCTTAAATTTGGCTGCATTACACATTATTAGTTCAGCTCACAGCATTTCTTTCTACTAGAAAATGAGCATAAGTTCATGCCTTTTCCTGTTTATCACTTTGAAAAAGTGATAAATTTAACTTAAGGTTGGGAAGGATAATGAAAGAGAACCTTGGAACTATCTGAAACGGGTAGAGGAAGGATGTTAGCAGGAAGGAAAAGGAGTCACACCATTCTCCTGAAGTGAGCCCAAGAAAAGAACCACCTTGAAATTCCTCATTAAGACTTCATCACTGCCTTGGTTCTGAATCTCGGCCTATCTTTACCACTTATCTTCTTGAGTTTCTTCCTTGAATCTAGAATTTTCCCTAGTATTGACAACCAGATTGAACACTGACTAATCTGTCTTGGGAGCAGCCCTTCACTGGTGAATAAAGGTTTCATACCTTCACAGACTGATCCTTAAACACTCAACTCTTCCCTTCCAAACTTAGAAAGTCTTGGTGAAGCAACTCCCTCACAATTTGATTTCAATAGGTCATAATTCTCCCTAAATTCCCTACACCTGACACTGAGATGACCCTCTTAGCATCTAAGATACACCCTAAATCCTAGGAAAGTTAGACTTTCTTTATCTGTGGCAGCACCTAAAGTGTTCTTGGTTGAGGCATAACCTGGTACCTCGTATTTTAAAATATTTAAATAAATGAACAAAAGAACCACCAAGGAATCAACTCCCTCTACTGTTTGCCTCTGAGTATAGGACACAGGACACAAAATCAGATTCTATTCAGAAAGTTCCCTCCTTAAGACAGTTTCCAAATTCTATTCAGAAAGTTCCCTCTTTGAAATAGTTTCTCAGCTGAAAACAAAGGTATTAAAGATGGTGGTTGGCAGGGGTGTGGGGATGGGAGTGGCTAAAGTATCTACACTTATGTTAGAAATTTGATCTTTAATATTAAAGCATGCCACAACCCCACATATCAGTTTAGAGCTAATATATCTGCTCTACTCTCTGAGACTCTTTTACCTATACCTCTTGATCTTATTTCAGAATAGATACAAATGAAAACATTACCACCAAAGCCTAAGTTATCTTCTCCATTGTAATTGTAGCTATTTAGCTATTTTAGCATTTTAGCCATTGTAATTTTAGCTATTTAGCTATTTTAGCATTGTAGCTATTGTCAGGGCAGAGTTCTTTCTGCAAAATCAAACCATGAACAGACCTAGTCCCACCTTATAAACCCCTAGTCCTCTAGCCTCACCTTTCATTCTACTGAATTTCAGGCACACACAGCCAAGATTATAAACTCCTTGAAGTGTTCACTTTTTAAAAATTGTCCAGATACATTCATTATTTCTTCCAATTTCATATATAATAAATGCCTTACTGATTAATCACTAATTTCTTACATGTTCAAAAAAAGTTTTGTGTCCGTCATACTGACTTAATGATAAAATACTAATTACCAACCATATTTAAAACCAATAGAATTCATGGAAATGCTTGAACCACATATATATTTTTTTTCTGAGATAGGGTCTCACCTTGTTGTCTAGGCTGGAATGTGGTAGCCAGGTTATAGCTCACTGTAACCTTCAACTCCTAGGCTCAAACAATCCTCCCATATCAGCCTCCCAAGTAGCTGAGATTACAGGTATACCCTGCTATACCCAGCTAATTGTTTAACTTTAAGATAGAAGTCTCCCTATGTTACCTAGGTGGGTCTAATACTCTTGCCCTCAAATGATACTCTTGCCTCAGCCTCCCAAAGTGCCACGAGATTACAGGCATGAGACACCATGTCCACCCTCGAAACATATGTTTTGATTCCATGGACTTTTAGAACATATTGTCTGACTTTACAATATCCATAAATAATACTATCACCAAAGAATAAATAGTCACAGAAACCACAAAGTGATATTAAAATATTCAACCTAATAGAACAGTCTTTCAAAAATTTTGCATAGAAAAGTTATTATCTCACAAGAATATTCAAGTTTTGTGATTTGAGGAATCAAAAAGACAAAGCCAAATGTCTTAAAGAAAGATTAGAGTTTTTCAATCATGGTTACTTTTAAATATTAATGCTATAAAAGCAAAAAGCAGCTACTACATAAAAAATAGACCAACAGAAGCAAACAAGTTCTACACAGTGTTCTAAAAACAGACACCTAAAAAGATCAGCCAACACTTCATTAGGTAAAAATAAGGTAGCAAACATTTTGAAAATGGCATGACGTTGCGGTTTCAAATTCATCAAACTAAATATCATTCCAACTGTGACATGTTTTAAAAGAAAATAAAAAAACCAAAACAAAACAGGGTAACGTTAATATCACAAACTGATTAAAGAGATGGAATAGAACTCTCTTCTAAGTCATTAAACTGATAATTATACTGAACTCCAAAGCACTTACCATTTTCCTGTGCCATTAGAGAATTTAGTGGGTTCACTGAATTGACCGATTTCTTTGTTAATCTATTTACATGGGTTAAGACCCTGACTGACATAAAACACAACCAAAAAACACCAGACAGAGTATAATGAAAGACTGAGTGATGTATGCTTTGGGGTACAGCCTATCTAATAAATGTGCTTGGCCAGCAAAGAACCCATCGGCAAAGATTTATTATCGAAACAAATACTTTCTAAAAAGATCTAATACAATAAAACCTGCAGTATAAATACAAGCTACTCTAAAATACAATTCTTGGCTCAGCTTCTGTAGCTCAGTAGCTAGGGCACCAGCCACATACACTGGAGCTGGAGGGTTCAAACCCAGTTCAAATCCAACTCGGGCCTGTCAAACATCAGTGACAACTACAGCAACATCAACAAAAAATAGCCAGGCATTGTGGCGGGCACCTGCAGTCCCAGCTACTTGGGAGGCTGAGGCAAGAGAATCACTTAAGCCCAAGAGTTAGAGGTTGCTGTGAGCTGTGATGCCACAGTTCTATACTGAGGGCAACATAGTGAGACCCTGCCTTGAAAAAAAAAAAAATATAGGCTCTAGGCTCAGCTCCTGTAGCTCAGTGAGCAGGGCAACAGCCACATAGCTTCAAGCCCAGCCTGGGCCTGCTAAACAATGACAGCTGCAACCAGAAAAATAACACCACAAAAGTAGCCAGGCGATATGGTGGATGCCTATAGTCCCAGCTACTCGGGAGGCTGAGGCAAGAGAATTGCTTAAGCCAAAGAGTTGCCGTTGCTGTGAACTGTGATGCCACAGCACTCTACCGAGGGGAACATAGTGACACTCTGTCTCAAAAGAAAAAAAATAATAATAAAATAAAATATAGTTCTTTGCCTTGTATAATTTGTCTTTCAATAATTACATTAAAATTGTCTTCATCTATTTCACTTAAAAATAATTTTTTAAACAAATAAAACCAGTAAGAATACTGTACAAATTGCCACTAGTAGTACAGTTCTTTGATTCGTACAAAATTAAAAAGGTTACTTAGAACTCTTTAGCAACTTTTACAACATATTAAAGAGAAGGAAGTATTTCTAGGAAATACATTATCAAAATAAAAGGTAAACAATGAATCACTTACTAGAATAAGTTAACATTTTAATTAGATATGTTAATATCAAATTAGTAAAAGTTAAGGACAGACACAGAAATGACTTTAAATGTTATACCTCCAAGCTCTTTTACATTCAAGATGGCATTCTGGAATGGCACTGCTTTTATACTAAAACCTAAAATTAGAAAACAAAAACATAAGAATTAGCAACTTAACTTTTAAATTAAAATAAGATGCTCAAATCCTCTTCTTTAGACAGAGTAAGATTCACTTTCATATCTCATATTTATACTAGAAACACGCAATTTCAAAAATAAACTGATAATCCAAAATTGTCTTCTACAATTTCTCAAAACACAGCTGTGTATTGCAGCAAAATTTAACACTATCCCCTTACTTCAAATCATTGCCTTACTCAATACACGATGCCACTCTCCGATTTCTATCAATGGTAAAGAAGACATTTTGAAACACAGAAATTTCAACGAAAACAATAAACTATAGGGCTCTTTGCATCTAATTCCAAAAGTTAATGTCCTACAATTTTTTTCTCACATAGAACTCTACAGCCCTAAAAATTAAGATACTTAAATTCTAACCATTTTATATTACAACTATATAGTATTTAATGTTAGTGTTTTCTTTAAAAGACTTGGTTGACATACCATACATACTTTTTTCTTAAAAGTATAATCATAATTACCCATTTATGCACAGGTGAGCATTTTGCAATGCATGTGATAAAATATTTCTCTTATAAAACTATATTCAGAGTATAGAGTTCTATGATTAACCGTGTATTTAGGACTTAACTATTACCATTTAAAACATTAAACCCAGGAGCAACATATGTGAGTGTGCATACACCCATACACATATACACAGGCAAATACACACACTGTGTCTTCCTGAAAAGATCCACAAGAAACTGCAACTAGTAATAACCCTCAGAAAAACTAGGGATCTCGGAGTTCTTAAGTAGGAAGGAGATTCTTTTGTATTATTTGAATGTTTTGCATGTACTTATTATTTCTTTTTTGATTAAAAGCCCCATTAATTTTTTTTTATTTCAGTCTCCTTTATTCCATGAATATTTACAGAACATCAACTACAACTATAGGCAAAACATTGACATAATCATTGAGGATAACATTGGGACAAATATATCAATTTCATGAGGAAACAAAAGCATTATCTACAAATCAATTATGAGATAAGTGTTCTCATTACCACCACTCCTAGTAAAGTTGAAGATCCTAGCTAATAGAATTATGATAACTTAAAAATCTCAATGGTTTGTAAAAAAAAATACAAATTTAATTACTTCCGAGTTACCAAGTTACTTGCAAGTTACCAAAAACAATGAAAAATTCAGCAATGTAGCTAACTTCAAAATAACTATGCAAAATCAATTATAGTCTTATGTAAAAAAGAATTACAAAATAATATTAGAAAAAGAAAGATAGCATTGTATCAGCAACCAAAATAGAAAGTACCTATCAATATAGCTTTAACAAGAGCTGTGCAACTTTTTTTTAAATACATAATCATTTACTACTTGTTTGTTATAGAATACATGAGACAAAATACAAATAGCAAACAAATTTTTTTCCTTATTATGTTTTTACCAAAGTCTAAAAAAAAAGATGACTAATATATATAAATAAAAGTAAAAAATAATTTCTAAAAAAAAAAAAAAAAGCATACCATGTCAAGTCTTATAGACAGTAGAAATAGAAATACTTCAAAATCATCATACTTAGCCAGGACACCCCTGATAGTAAAATTAGAAAAAATATAGTATTATAAAGGAGAAATTACAGACATATTTCACTGATGAATAAGGATACAACGAAAAACAACATATTGACATGTTGAATTAAAAATTGATGTTTAAGTAATATACGTTGATCAAAAAGCCCCACTAATTTTTAAAAGTTAATTTATCAGTAGTTTGGATATGCATTCATTCTATTTTAGGTGTCAAGCATTATCTAATATATACAATTACAAGGTGAATAAAACAAGTCCCCTTTTCAAGAAATTATCAACAGAGTAAAGATGGCCAACGCACACATACTTTTTTTTGAGATGCGTTAAGATAGGTGCCTGGCCAAGTAAAAAGACCTATGGAGTATGATGTGGACAAGAACAATTACTTTACATGGTTTTGGTTTGTTTCATAAAGAAGGAAATCAACGTGCACCTTGTTAGTCCAGCCTGTCCAACCTGTCTTTTGTACTCCCTTGCTGCATGTTTCCTCAGTACTTTAATAATCTACGTATTACCTACGTATTACCTTTTTTTTTAAAGTCTCCATCTTTTTTAATCACTGAATAGTATTCCATGCTATCCATATACCACAATTTTTTATTTATTTATTTTTTTACGTATTACCTTCTATCTAACACAGTATATATCAGGTAACAGTTGAAGAATTGACTTTGGAGCTGGGACTAGTTAAGACATTTGTTAACTCTGAATACGGGTAACCTGCTGGACTTGGCCTTCTCATCTAGTAGATGATAATATCTACTTCATGGGGCTTGTTAAAAGGATAATATATGTGCTGTGTTTATCACAGGGCTCAGTTCACAAAAAGCACACAATATGCAATTGTTGGCATTATGTTTTAACATATGTTTTTCTTGTGGATAATTTAATCAATATTTTTTGCCTCCTATTAAAAACTTGGGTGCTGGGCATGAGGTGGGATCCCACCTACTGTGCACATGGTGAGGGTCTATAACACACCTCCTGGGTGAGGGGCTTTTCTACAAATGGAACCTTACCCTGAAAGTGAGAACAATGTAACCTAAATATTGTACCCTCATATTAGTTTGAATAAAGTTTTAAAAAATTCTGGGTGCTCATTTATTCATCTAAATGCTTAGTTGGAGCTGTGGAAGTTATTACTGAATAATAAGTACATTTTTGTAGTGATAGAAGTATCAACAGTTGAAATCTGCTGCACAGGAAGTACAGGAAATGTCCACTGGGCCCTCTAAGAATCTTCCCAAACATACCCTTCCTTTATAGATTTAATGCAGATTAATACAGTCAGCATAGCATTATGTTTAATGGTGCATGAAGTCACTGAATCTTTGTAAAATAGCAGGAGGAAAGAGGCGGCAGTCCCATGTGTCTGAGACAGTGGCGTGATCCTAGGCCTGCAAGAAAGCCTCTCCAGGTGTCTGGCCTCTGGGAAATTAAGGAATGTCAGTGCCAATCATAATACTCTTGCTGGCACCAATGTTTGCCTGCAGGAGACTTGGATGCTTCATGTATCTACCTACCAAACATGGGTATTACATGGATTAAAAGGCAATAATTGTGAAATCCAAAAAACGAAACACCCTCTGCAAATACTAAGCAATCTAGTGGTGGTTATGTTTGGGACAACTTGAGTATGGATTTTCTATAGAAGTAGGACAGGCACAGGCTCAAATTCTGAAAAGGAAACAGAAGATACCAAGTAATATTTAATCTGCTTTGATTCTTTAAAAGCTGACACTATACAGACACCCAAAGAGAGTAATATCCTTCCAGAAATGCTGCACCTACATGTGAAATACAACTTTTAAACTTTATTAATCCAACAGGCAGATTGTATCACTGTTACTGTCTTTAAATACTTGCAGTCTTCATAGTAAGTTGATTGCAAAAATATCTTCAAATGTTCCCACTAAGGAAAGTAATGTAGGAATGTTATTTATAAGCATATAAATGTTTCTGTAGACTGCTCAAATGTTTTCTCTCCAAATAGAATATGTGTGGCTAGATTTATACTGCAAAGGTATATGCAGTATATATGAGGTCAATTCAGTTTGTGAACTCAACCTAGAAAAAGTGCTACATACCTCATTGCTGAGTATCACTACGATCACCAGATGGCCAAGGGAAGCACTTTGAAGATAACCCTAGTGTCATGCAGCAATGATGTAATGTAGCTCTTTTTCTAGGACAAGTTCACGAACTTAATTGTCTGAGCTTGTACAGCTATCCATACTGCTGTATTTTTTTTACAGTATACCTGTAGCAATTAGTGTTCAGAGGATAAAGTCTAGATAATTGAAAAAATAAGAAAATGTAGTACTCATGGTAGAAATACGATTTTTTCCTATTTCAAATGTTTGCAAGGATTAAATGAAACTAAAAATTTAAAGCCACATTATTTATGTCTGTCCCGTAGCTAGACTGCAAGGATCCACATGGAGAAAACACGTATAGTATATGCTGTATGTCAGTGCTTGACACATAAAAGGATTTCAAGATTGTTTAAAGATCTGTGCTATGGATTTACATCTATTTCCTAATTTCATTGTTAAAACAGTTCTAAAGTTAATGTTGGTACTACTATCCTAAGAAGAAAATAAAGTGTGTGTGTGTGTGTGTGTGTGTGTGTGTGTGTGTGTGTTTGGGGGGAGGGGTGTGTTAAATAGCTTGCTGAAGGTACTAAGTGGTATATTCAAAACTTGAACAAACCTAGATCTCATCACCAGAGCCCTACGTGATAGGGCTCCATAAACCAACAAGCTGATAGATTAATACTATTTTGTATGAAAGGCAAACAGGCAAATTTACGAGGCAAATACACCTATGCCTAGTCAACCCAGTAGTTTACTTTCCCTTCCTGTTTAGAAATAATCCAAAAACTAGGAACCCAAGTAAGTATTCTCAGGTCTACATAACATTTTTTTATTAATAGAATAGAAATGATACTATAAGTTTAGAAAATACTTTTTTATAGACATTACTAATAAAATCAGGAACTTAGGAGGGAAGGGAAAATGTCCGACTTGGCAATCCATAGCCAAGACACTAGGACTGCTCTCTTGCTTCTTCAAACATCTATGTCCTCTGATGCGCTCCATGGGGAGCAGGTGCTGATGTGACAAAGCACTGTTTGTCCTAGGAGTTCCAGACACAGCTCTTAGACTCATCAGCCAATGAGTTGTGTTTTGTTTTGTTTTTTACTTGGCCTTGAATTCTCTATCTGCAAAATGAGTGGACTAGATTGGTTCTTCAAGGTTTCCTCTAAAATTAGTATTCCATTATTTATATTAAACGAGGAGGAGGAAATAACAGTAACCACTGAGTCCATCATCAATGGCCTCTATTTGGCTAACGGCCTCATGGATAGGTCTCCCTAGGCTCCATTCAAATAATTTGATG